CCGTGTGTAGCCAGCAGCCAGCGTGAGCGGCCAGCAGCCGCAGTGAGCAGCCGTCCAGAAGCCGGCGACTGATCTGCCTCGCCAGGGAAGAGCACAATGATGGTGCCAACTTGGGCCAGTGAAGCAACATCCTCCACAACTAGATTGAAGAACAAAACGACAGCAACTTGTCTGTTCCCCTTCCCCCAATTCCCCAGCACTGTTCCCATTCCCCCAATTCCCCAATAAAAATCTTAAAAAAAAAAAAAAAAAAAGAACTGGCTTGGGACGCCAGAGGGCCCCGGTTCAGATCCCACATATGAGGGCCGGTGACACTGCCCTCCACAGCTAAGATGCTGAACAACAGCTCAACCTGGAGCTGGGCTGCTGTGAGTCACCGGTGACAGCGTAGGCTGCAGCCCCTGTGGCAGTGGGTTGCCATGGGCTACCGTGTGTAGCCAGCAGCCAGCGTGAGCGGCCAGCAGCTGCGGTGAGGGCAGTCCAGAAGCCAGCGACTGATCTGCCTCGCCCAGGAAGAGCGCAATGATGGTGCCAACTTAGGCCAGTGAAGCAACATCCTCCACAACTAGGCTGAAGAACAAAACGACAGCAACTTGTCTGTTCCCCTTCCCCCAATTCCCCAGTAAAAATCTTTTAAAAAAAACAAAACATGAAATCCATAGGAAATTCACCATTGTAACCAAAAATAAGCTAAACCCTCTTGGAGCTTTTTCTGGACAAATCTACATTGTTTCTACAAGTAATAACAGATTATCTTATTTATCCCCCAAGAAGTTAACTTGCTACAGATTTGTTGGAATCCAGATAGTTTCTTTTTGGCTTTTGTCCAACATTCAAAGCTTTTTACTGAAAGAGCTCTTCTGAATAAGAACAATGTTACAAAATAATAGCTCTAAAAGTATGTTACAAATGAAGTAGAGAATAGATACATTGTTTTGAATATAGTCATGATTTAAAGTACTAGAAAATGTCTAGGAAAAAGGTAATCACCCTGTTGAAAAGCTTCTAGATACAGAATTCTTTGCTCTGGAAGATTCAGCTGAATTCCACTCTCATAATATTTGATTTAACAAATGTAAGACCCAGATTCTCTTAGATCTGGTATCTAGAACTACTATAATCTAATATTACCACAAAAGCAAATTTTTATTGCCTTAATTTTATTCTAGCCTAAGAAAATATTTTTAACCATCAAATTCATTTTGATTTTTTTTTTTTTTCCCGCTGAGCCATCATGCCACCTTTTGGCAGCTCAGCGGCAGCTCAGCTTGGGCCGGGCATCAAACTGCTGTTGCTCAGAGCTCAAACTCTTGAGCGAGCTCTTAACCAACTGAGCCACTCGGCCGGCCCTCATTTTGATTTTTAAAGCACTTTCATGCAGATTACATCACAAGTTTTTGTCAGATAGGTGAAGTAAATAGATGAACTCATAAAAATCACTTATCATTCCCCTATACATCAATAACCAAGCAGGAAATATAATAGAAAAAAAATGTAAAATCACAATAGCAATAAAAAAATTAAAGCATCTAGGAATTAACATATGAATGCACAAGACCTTTATAGAAAAATGTAAAGCTTTAATAAAGATGTTATAATTGGGTATCCATATAACAAAAAAGAATCTTGATTCCTACCTCACATTCTACAGACATACACAATGGATTGTAACTCTAAATCTGAAAGGCAAAATAATAAAGCTTCTAGAATAAGACAGAAAAATTTCTTCATGACCTCAAGGTAGGTAAAGATTTCTCACAGGCATAAAAAATATTGTCTATAAAGGAAAAAAATAAAGATAAATTGGACCAAATTAAGAACCTCTGTTCATCAAAAGCCACACTGAGAGTGAAAAACAAGCCACAGACAGATATATTTGCAATATGATTTATATCTAGAATATGTAAAAAAGCCCTATAGATGAATAAGACAAGACAATTCAACACAAAATGAGCAAAAGACTTAAACAGGTACTTCATGAAAGGAGAGATCTAAATGATCAATATATTTACAAAAAGGTGCTCAATTTCATTAATACCAGGGACATGCAAACCAAAACCACAATGTGATATCACTATACAGCCATCAAAATGGCTAAAATGCAAGTGAAAAAAGCAAATGTTGACAAGGATGTGGAACAACTGGAACTCTCATGTGCTGCTAGTGAGATCATGAACTGGTACAACCATTGTATAAAACTGTTTGGTCCTATCTACTAAAGCTAACTATAGACAAATTACAAAAGCTCAATATAGGCAAACCCTGTAACTTCTCATCATACACCCAACAAAAATGCATACATTTGTTCACCAAATGATATTTACAAAAATGTTCATAGCAGCACTATTCTTAGTAGCCCAAGACTGGGAACAATCCAAATATCTATCAATAATAGAAAGAGTAAACTGTGGGATAGTCATACAATAAAATACTACACAGCAATGTGTAAACAAACTCAACTACGTACAACAGAATGGGTGAATCTCACAATGTTGAGTGAATGAAGCCAGAATCAAGTATATACTGCATGGTTTCAATTTTATAAGTTTAAAAATAAGCTAAATAGAAATCAGGACAGTGATTACTGTAGGAGAGAGGGGACAGGAATGGATGGTGACTGAAAGGGTAGGCAAGGAAGGCTCCTAGGGTTTTGATGTTGTTTCTTGATCTGGGTGCTGCTTACACAGATGAATTTACTTTGTGAAAATCAGTCAAGGTATATATACTTGCAATATGTGCACTTTATGTATATTATATCAATTACAAGTTTAGATAAGCAAGAAAAAGGAAAACATACTGGATTCCAGATCTCAGGAGAAGCAGATATATCACAATACGTAAATCAAAATGTTTAACTTAAAAAAAATCATTAAAAGGAATATAAATGAAGACCTGAAAAACTGGTGAGATATGTTTATAGGTGGGATAATTTAACATTAAGATAACAATCCTCTCTAAATATGTAAATTTAATGTAAACTCATCAGGATTTCTTGCGGAATTCAACTAATGGATTCTAAAATACATACTAAACAATAAAGGTGCATAACTAGCTAAGATGATTTTGAAAAACAAGAGCAGAGGGGAGTCCTGATCAAATATTATGACATACTACAAACAATAAAGATAACATAACAACGTGTTCTGGAGCAGGAGCAGACAGACTGATGGGATACTGCAGAAACAGATCCACTTATATATGGGAAGTTGAGAAGGAATGAATTTTTTAATAAATATTTGTTAGGAAAACTGGCTCACAGTAATAACTAAGGTGGCTTCCTACCTTAAATCAAATAAAAAGGCGAATTCCATATGGGTGAAAGACCTAAAAATAAATTATAAGGCAAATAGAAGAAAATGTAGAAAAATGTCTTTGTGAACTTCTGGTCAAAATGGATGTCTACAATGAGATTCAAAATGCACAAACCGTAAGGTGAAAAATTGAAGGGCAAAAAGAATTTCGTTCAACGAAGTATGGCATAAACAAAGTTAATGGATGACAGACTTGGGATAAGATATTTGCAATATCAAAAATAGACAAGGGGGATGGGGATGGTGGTGACCAGTTAAGCTCAGTTGGTTAGAGCGTGGTGCTGCTAATACCAAGGTTGCTGGTTTGATTCCCGCATGGGCCACTGTGAGCTGCACCCTCCCTAAAAGAGTCAACTATGCCATTGTAGCATGAAAGCAATGTGTAACCAATGACCATGGCTGTTCCCCAATAAAATTAAAAAAAAAAAAGACAAGGGATTAATCATTAGAAAATACAAGGAACTCTTGAAAAAAAAAAAGGCTGGAAATACAAAGGAAAACTGGGTAAAGATTATAAATAAGGCATTCACAAAAGTAGAAAGAAACTCAATTGACTAACAAGAATATGAAGAGATGCTCAACTTCAATTAGTAAATAAAGAAATGTAAATTAAAACAAACTAAAAACATTAAATACCACTTTATAGCCACCACATTGGCAAATATTTTTAAACATTAAATAATATCAATTGCTGGTGAAGATATTGGAAAAACAGGAATTCTTGCATACTGCCAGGGGCAGGGTAAACTGTTACACTGATACTGGAGAGTAAACTGGCAGTATTTAGATAAAGGAAGTATATGTGTATACCTTATGGCCTAGCAATCCACTCCTGAAAATATTTCCCAGAGAATAAATCTAGAGAGGATGAATGAGGACATTCATCATATAAACAGTTGGAAGTTAGAAGCAGCCAATGAGTTCAGACTAGGAGCATGGTCTGTAAATAGGGGCGATTCATACCATGGATTATGTTGCAATTTCTTAAAAGCAATCAATTACACATAAATACAGCTACATGGATAGAACTATAAAATTACCATTGAAAGAAAACTAGAAAAAGAATGAGATCTATAACACAATACTATGTTGTAATTAAAAAGCACAGATTAACAAAGCACATACACAAAGCAATGCTGTATGATTTATAAAGACATATACATATTTAAGAAGATATACCAAATACATCAGTGGGTTCCAAAGGGTGTGTAGGGTGGGGAGGGAGTTGGGGGAACCACTATGAAGGGGAAAAGTTGCAAAATAAGTAAAATAAAAAGAGAGGCCTTGCACAGCCCATTAATGACACCATGCTATGAACTGATTAGAAATTTTGAGTGACTCGATTCCCTGTACTTGAGGCCCCCTTAAAAGAGCTCACCCTTCTTATGATGAAGAAACCAAGTTACAATAATGTAAATTAACCTACAAATGATGGAAGTGCCCAGTCAGCCTTCCACTGATAACTCTAACCTGATCTAGTTATATATAAAGAGAAACTTGATTTCATAAGCTTCTCAATATCCATATACCTGGAAAGATAAGGGAATTTGTATATCCTTCCACGTGAGCCCTTGTGGTTCATTCAGATTGTAGTTTAAGTTTCCTTTCAATCAGTCCAAGAAGTATCAGTGTGACCAAGCAAAGCAGATTCCAAAGGCAGGAAACAGGCAATATGATGCTATGAAGTACCTTTCTGAACAGTCCCGTCTGCTGTCGTAGGGCCTTGAGGCAATCCTTCAATGTAGGTGGTTGGCAACCAGTCTGCCGAGATAGGCTGACCTTGTAGCTTTTCTAGTCTCTCTCGTACAGCACTGGTCAGGTCTACATAAGCCTCATCAATGCTGGCGCGTTCAATTATAGCAAAACGAGACATTACCTCCATCACTTCCACACTGGCTTCCCGGTACCTAAAAAGTATAAGAATGAAACGTGTAGGCAATAAATGGAGGCAACACTGAGACCATAGGCCTCATCCTCTCCTTCTCATAGTGGAACAATATACATAATCAGTATAACGTCTCCTTAAAGAGAGGAATGGCTTGTGAGACTAGATAGTAACTGAACTCATCAACGAGCAGGCAGATTGTCAATAACAGAAGCAAGGAAAAAGAACTCTGGGGGCAAACCTTTTTACTACAACTCTAGCACTACCAGGCATCCAATCCAGATCATGAACATGTCCATGTGACAAGGATCTCTCTAAAAAGGAAAGAAATGCTTCAAACTACTTTAACTAGAGAACATTTTACTACGATCACCTACTCCTTTTGTTATTTTCATATACCCACCATATAATATCTGCTTCTACTTTTGTCTTCAAATAAGAGGTAACACTTACAGGGAACCCAAGTACCTGGTCTTCCACATGATGGTATTTCTCATTATAAATGAACAAAGTGATGTATGGATTTTACACTTCAGTCAATGGGGGCTTTGATTAACATGTCAGCTGGTCCTCACTATAATACATGTATACACACATACACACACACAACCAACCAAGTCCAATCACTTCTGAATATACTAACAAATTATCAAGTTGAAGATAAGCTCCTAGAATGTGGTGATGCATCTGGACAGGCAGACAGCCTTCCCCAGGGGATGCCAATCGCATCATATATCCTCTATTCAAACCATAAGGAGCAGCTCTTCTGGCTGAATACAGCTAATTTTCTATGGCAATATGTGGGTGTTTGCTTTGCTTTGGACTTGCTATGGAATTTAAAGTGAGTTCTTTGTTCCGGTTGAACCTATTTTATTTATCATAAAAATGGAAATGTCTGCACCTCTTTGTTAAGACATCTATCAAAACTGGTATAATTATTGTTCTAAAACATTCTCAAATAAGAGAATTAAAGAAAGAAAGGAGAGAAAGACTCGGCTTTTTCTCTTTTAATCATTATTTGGGTTGGATGGAGGGTGGTCGGACCTCAAATAAAAAAGAGTACAAGTGTGCTCAAGAGCATGAGAGCACGGTACACTCACCCACATACAGGGCAAGGAAAGATACTGTATTACAGTAGCTGGTGTTCCTTCTCAGCCTCTTTAGCAAATTTCTCCAAGGTGCTTTTAAGAACATTTAACTTAGTGCATATACATTTCTGAAAATCATATTTTTACTTTTATAACTTGGCATCTCAGGTTAATTATTAAAATAATAATTTTAAATCACCAAGTCTTAATCTCTCTCTGATCTATAAACTTACTCCTACATTTTCTAAAACTGTCTTTGTTCAAAAGCAAAATAAATGGTTCAGTTTAAAGTTGGTGGCATGTAACTTTCAAAAATCATACTCTGAACTCAACTATAGTTCTGGGAAGTTACATTGTCTTTACAGCATAAAATTCTATTCAATGCATATGTCCATTAGTCGAATTAATTCTACTTTAGGGTTAAGGTAGTAATCTTCAGTCAAATCTGCCTTCTTTTCTGGCAATAACTTTAATGTGAGGTTGACTATGATGCTCCACCTTTAGACTCCCAATTCATAGGTGAATTCAGGAATATCTCAGGTCCCAAGTCAAAGCAGGATGCCTATATACCACACCACACAGTACAGTGTGCTGTGAGAATGTGTATCCTGGAATCTGAAAAAAAATTGAACCCTCAGTTTCTACTTTCTAGCTGTGTGAACTTAAATTATTTAACCTCTCTAACTTGTTTCCTATCTGTGTGTGTGTGTGTGTGTGTGTGTGTGTGTGTGTGTGTGTGTGTGTGTGTTGGGGGTGGTAATACTAGAACCTATCTCTTTTTTTTTTAAACATTTTAGGGAAGATGGGGGAGGGGAACAGTATTGGGAAATCGGGGAAGGGGAACAGACAAGTTGCTGTCCTTTTGTTCTTCAGTCTAGTTGTGGAGGACACCGCTTCACTGGCCCATGTTGGTATTATGATCATTGCGCTCTTCCCGGCTGAGGCAGCTCGGCCGCCGCCATCGGACGGCAGCTCATGGCAGCTCTTGCCAGCTGCCGGCCACTCATGCTAGCGCACGGCAGCCCAGTGCAGCAGGGGCTGAAGCCTACACCGTTGCAGGCCCAAGGCAGCCCAGCTCCAGGTCAAGCTGTTGTTCACCATCTTAGCTGTAGAGGGCGCAGCATCACTGGCCTGTGTGGGATCCGAACCAGCAGCCCTGCTGCTCAGAGATTGCGCTCCCAAGCCAGCTCTTAACCAACTGAGCCACTCGGCCAGCCCCCTAGAGCCTATCTTATAACAATGTGTGATTTAAGATATATTGTCTATGGAGCGCTTAACATAGTGCCTAACATATGACACATGCTCAATACATACTATTAGGATTATTATAATGGCCGGGGCTTGTACCTACCTCTAACTTGACTATGCCTATACATGTCCTCTCATTGCAAGGCTAACATTCTAAAACTTGAGGAGAGACAGACAGCTCAGGTCAAAAACAGAGAAGGTAATCTCCTTTTAGATTGCTCAGTTCTGGCAAATAATTCTAGATATTGCACTAGAATGTCAGTTTGACTCATCCTTCTCTGGGAAAACTCTTCAAAAATTACTTCAAAAACTTCAGACTTGGCCTGAGAAGATGAAAATTGGTATTGTTTTAATTATAATAACCAACTTTTAAATAACTAGGAAACTGAAAGGGTGTCAAGAGCAGCGATTGTTGAAAGTTATGACTCTGGACTGATCCTGAAATACAATATCAGAATCTGTTTTCAATTCACACAGAAAAGTTGGTGGAACAAAGGGAATGCTTTTGGATATTCTTTACACAAAAAAAATTTGAAATATCAGTTCTTAGCCTCATGGGATATTATTTCCAACTCTTTTATCCCCACTTAAACAATCTCTTCTTACTTGGTGAGGTTAGCTTTCCCACGGGACTCACGAACTTGTGCCAGTAGAAGATCTGGGCATAACTTCTTAGCATCATCTGCCCACATGTTTCTAGTGACCCCAAATGCACGAGCTTCATAACTCACTGCAATTATTCTAAGGTTAGAAAAAAGGGGAACAGAAAAATATTACATGATCACAAGCAAAAATAATTAAAATTTAACATGAATAGGCTACAAACTTAACAGTAGGAACTTTTTGGCCACAGATGCCACTATTTGATCTCAAACACAGCAGTTCAGAAATCTCAAAAATAGGACCTAGCATAGTGCATGCATTCTTATAGATTAAAATAGTAGTTGACAGTTGCAACAATAACTATGATACACACCCACCACCTTTCCATGATTTGTACTGCACGACTGCACAAGGTTTATTCCTCAAATGAGCATTCTGCCGCTGCTCCACTTGAACAAAAAAACAGTCCATGTCCACTAGAGCGACTACCCGGTCCTGTCCATTGGCCATTTTTCTGTAAGACAGTGTTTTATGCACAGTTTAAAAGGATATCCAATCCTAAGTGCCAAGGAAAATTGTATTTCCATTCTTCCACTGCTGAATTACCATGAACATAAGAGTCTGGAAACTAACAAGAATTAAATAGGCATTTTCATTTACTGCTAGAAGGAGACTAATACATTTTAGGAAATTTTAATCAATTTTAGGAAGGTAATAAGTATTAAAAGCTTTAAAAATATCCACCCCCCCCAAAGAACTGAACACTTCACAAAAGAAGATACATAAATAGTCAACAGGCACATGAAAATGAGCTCAACATTTAGTCACAGGGAAATGCAAATTAAAACCACCATGTACATCAACAGAGGAATTAAGCCAACAGTTAATCCACTTCATACACAAGCCTCAAGTATAAGTTCAGGGAAAAAGAGGAGCATAAAATGATATATAACATTACAGCATTCATGTAAATTTTTAAAACTTTATTTTAAAATAATTTTAGATTTGCAAAAATAGTAAGGTTCTCTTACCCCGTTTCCCCTAACATTAACATTTTACATAGCACAATGATCAAAACTAAAAAATGAACACTGGTATAATATTCAACTACATACTTTACTTGAATTTCACCAGTTATTCCACTAATATCCTTTTTCTGTTCCCAGATCCAATCTTAGTCATCATGTCTGCTTAGTATTCTCTATTCTGTGATACCTCCTCAGTCTTCTCTTGTTTTTCATGACTTTGACACTTTTTGAAGAAAACTAGTCAGTTACTTTGAGACTATCTCTCAATTTAGGTTTGTCTGATGTCTTCTCTTGATTAGATTGAGGTTATGCATTTTTGGCAAGAATATTATGGAACTGATGTGCTCTTCTCAGTGTATCAAACTAGTACATGATGTCAATATGTCTTATTACTAACTAGTGATGTTAACCATGATCATTTAGTTGAGATAGTGTTTGCCAGGTTTCCCACTACAAAGTTACTATTTTTCCTTTTGTAAGGAATATCTTAAGGAAAATACTTTGAGAATATGCAAATATCCTGTTTGTCCTCGTACTTTCAACCACCAAGCACCATCAGTGAATCTTGCCTGTCACAATTATTTTGCAGTGTTTTACTGGTGATTTTCTACCCATTCATGTAAACTTCTTAAGACAAAAGAAAACAATACTGCATAGTATTCGAGGATAGACATACATAAAGCTATGGATGGTAGATTTGAAGAACAAACTTTCTATGCTCGATAGTGGATACAGACTAATATTATCATTTGACACTGTTAGAAATCTGGAGAAGAAAGCGGTGGCTCCCAAACTTTGCTGCAGATTGGAATCACCTAGGAATATTTAAATAATATTGATATCAGCTTCTACCATCAGATATCCTCATTTAATTGGTATGAATGTGGCTTGGACATTGCGATTTTTATAAGCTCTCCAGGCAATTCTAATGTGCAGCAGAGATTGAGAACCACTGACCTAAAGTAAACAACTTATGGAAATACCAGTAATTCATGATTTAAATATGAGAAACACAGGTTACACAGTTGAGTAAGCATCCAACTGTATTTTTTTTTAAGTGTCAAATATTAACATTCACCTTGAAAAAAGTGGCATGCAACTACAAACTGGAAGCTTAGTGAAAAGAAAACAATGAATTTAAAAATCAGAGTGTCAAGGCATTAATTCCCTATAAATTCTACTTACCTAAAATAGGCAGAATGTGATACTTTAAACATTTATAAGTTAAAAACCGTAACATGTCAGAAATCACTTTACCTTGAAGTGCCTTTTGCATAGTACTGGAACAGATAATGCCAGAATAAAAATAGTAAATGCTTTTCACTAAAAACCATATTAGATACAAATACCAGACATGAAATATGAATAGGAAGCAGTGATTTAAGTCCAGCAAACATATTACTGAGTATACAAAAAACCGATATGCAGGCTTTAACAGCTAATGAAGCTGTTGAAGTTTTCAGTTCATGTATTTTGTTGGAGAAAGCAAGAGCTTTTTAAAGATGGAAAATGAAACACTCCTTGTCAAAACACTCCTTTCAGAATAATGATTACACTCCTCTGAAGTCTTATATATAGCACTTCAAATGATTCAAACCTTCAATAATTGCAATTATTGATCTTTAAACATCTCGATTTATCCCGATCTGGACAAAACAAGTTTGGTGTTGATCAGGAGATAACACTTCCGAGAAAAATAAGTACAAGTGAAGAGGGAGGTTTAAGAGCTATAGAGAAAAATATATTTTTTTTTCCACAAGAAAAATACCTGGGTCTTATCTCTCTGTCAGCATGTATTTCTATTTCATGTAATTTTGGCCCAATGTCACCCTCCACTGCTATATCATAAAACCAGTAGCCAAGGCAACACGAAAAGTTTGAAAACAGTGATAATGCAAGTTTTGAAATTCTCTTACCAATGTGGCAAACACCTGGCAAAACTGTCAACGGCGGACGCCGCAGATGCTGGGCTTGGTGTCCACTGGAAGGAAGATGAAGGGATCTTGAATATCTGTTCTCTTTCCGGGAGCAAGCCAGTCGGTATCGAGAGATTTATTCCCCGCAAAGATGAAGAAATGGACCAAGGGTCGCAGAGGATCCTTGCCCGGGCATCCGCCCGCACACCCGGATGGCTTCAGCCAAGGCCAGCGCGCTCAGCAACCAGCTCTCCTGACAGATCTCAGACAGCGCGCTCACTGCGAAGGGCGTCGACGCGCCTGCGCACCGCGCCTTTTCCTTCTCCCGCTCCGCCCAACGAAGAGCAACCGTCATAAGAAAGCCTCCACTTCCGCCGGCGCGTGCGCCTTGGAAGATCCAGCGCGTGCGTAGCGCCGGTTCGTTCCCGGCTGGAGTTCCTGCGGCTCACGCTCCTCCTCCCGCTCCCCACCCCCTCCAGCCCGCCTCGGCCTGGTACTAGCGTGTTATCCCGGCGAGGGAGCGGTCCGTGCCTTGTGCTCCCAGGACAGCCGTGGTGCGCTCTCGCGGCGCGCGTGGCAGTAGCCATGGCGATGGATCAAGTGAACGCGCTGTGCGAGCAGCTGGTGAAAGCGGTGACGATCATGATGGACCCCAGCTCCACCCAGCGCTATCGGCTGGAAGCCCTCAAGGTAGCTGGGGTCTGACGCCTCGGGCCTGCTGGGAGACTCTTCCCCAGCCCTGCGGTCCCGGCGCCCCCCACGCGGCCCTTGGACCTTCCTCCCCAACCCCGAGGGGCCTTCCCTGCCGCCCTCCGCGCCACTTTCCACTCCTAGCCTTCTCTGCTCGCCGCACCTAACCCCTTTCCCGGGACGCTCCAGTCCTCAGGTGCTTTTGGCGGTCTCATCTCACCACCACTTCCCACTGCTCTCTCCTCCCCTTTCCCCCACTTTGGTTCACTCTTGACCGCACCACGACCCCTCTCCACAGCTGGCTGCACGCATTTTATCCTCCCAAGCCCACATCCCCTCGCCTTCCCGTGGCACACGTGTCCATCGCGTACCTAGCAGCAGCTGCATTCTTGATGATCTCCCTTGCACCAAACGTTTCCCTACTAACCCCCTCTAACCTCCTTTACTTACATCCATACAAGCCTTTCCTAACCTTATGTGTCCTGGGTATTTCTGGGCTAATTCTCACACAGCCTCATCGCATGTTTTTAAGTGTCTGATATTCTTAGGCTATTTTGCGCAAAGATGAACTTCCACCACTTACTTTGCATTTTAACAAGGGCACTTTGATTTCCTGAAAGTAGTCTTGAGTCCTGATGCTCTGCTCCCAAGACTGATTGTTGTGTTGCAGCTTGGGGCTGTTGGTACAATATGAGCATATCCCGGCATCAAACAATGTATGTGGGCTGTGAGAAACGAAATTAGGAAAAACGACTTGTGCTGTGCATATTTTAAGTGATGTACAGTGAGTATCACTTGGAGGAAACTTTACAATATATACATGTATGCCACAGGATTTGGAATCAAATAGTTGGGTTATATTTGTTTTTTACTATGAAATATTAAAAATAGATATAAAAGTAGAGAGAATACTACAATGATCTTATGTATAATAACCATTGCCTAAACTCAGCTGTTATAGATTTTACCCCATTTACTTTGCCCCTCCCTCCACCAAAAGTTTTTAAATCAAACCCTAGAAATTGTCATTTCACCCATACATACTTCAGGAGTGTATCTCTAACATAATTTTTTACTCTTTTAGATCAGGTTTTTTTTCAACATTAGTTGGACATTGCATGGGAAATATGGAACTGTGAAAGTGAAAGGAGTGTTTATTTGTTCTTTACTCATATAATATTGATCTAGATTTTGTACCTTAAAAATGTAGCTCACATTGGAGTTTGTTAAGAGGAAGTGTTTTGTTTTCTAAAGATTTTATTGGGGAATTGGGGAAGGGGAACAGTGTTGGGGATTTGGGGAAGAGGAATAGCCAAGTTGTTGTCCTTCAATCTTAGTTGTGGAGGGTGCAGCTAGCTCAGCTCCAAGTCCAGTCGCCATCCGTCGGCCACTTGCGGCCGCTCAGCTCAGTGCCCGATCAATCTTAGTTGCAGGTGGGCGTAGCCTACCTTCCCATGTGGGAGTCGAACCAGCAACCTTGTTGTTAGGAGAACATGCTCTCACCAGCTGAGCCATCCTGCCACCTGTTGGCAGCTCAGCTCGGGCACAACATCACTGGCCCATGTGGGAATTGAACCAGTGACCTTATTGCCCAGAGCTTGCACTCTTAATCAACTGAGCCACTCAGCTGGCCCCAAGATGAAGTTTTCTTAGTCCCCACTCTCTTGGCTCCTAAGGGAAATGCTAACTTTTCTTCTTTCAGTTTTGTGAGGAGTTTAAAGAAAAGTGCCCTATCTGTGTACCCTGTGGCTTGAGGTTGGCTGAGAAAACACAAATTGCCATCGTCAGACATTTTGGCCTTCAGATCCTGGAACACGTTGTCAAGTAAGGAGCTTTTGGACATTACCACTGAAGTCTGTGAGAGCAAATCTTTATTTCTTATGTAACTCATAGAGATACTCTTTAGGTAAGTAGAAAAGAGCAGTCCCCAAGAAGAAAGGATTGATCCCCACAAGGTCATCACAGCCTTATGGGAGCTCTCATTCAGGTCTCAACCTTTCTCTTCTTCAGTTTCTTCATCCATGTAAAGTATGTGGTTCATACTAAGCATTCTGCAAAAGCACGTAGTCATTCAGCCAGCAATTATTGAGCTCCTACTGTACACCAGCAGACCTCAGAGTCTTTAGAATAGGCCTTTGGAGCCACGCTGTTGCTCGGGCCCACTCCTGTCCCTTTGGAGTGTGCTTTTGCCTTTTGAGCCACCCTGTTGCTCAGGCCCGCTGCAATCTCTATGGAGTGCACTTTTGCTTCTAATAAACTGTTCTTTCACCACTGTAAAAAAAAAAAGTCTTTAGAATAATGCAGTGTATATGTAAACAAATCTCTGATTAGGCATCGAGTCTTTAGGGTTGTTTGTTTGTTGTTGTTTTTGAGTTTGAGTGTGTGTCTTCTCTGGTTGTCAAATCCAAAGCAGGATTATATGAAAATAACTGAAAACCCTTTCAAAGTTGAGCCTGCTATACCCAATGCCTATCAGAAGAATCAGTTAAGATTTAGCCAGTTTTTCAGGAATTGTGCTATTACCTTGTAAACCATCACAGAAAGGAAGTTTGTGATATCTGAAAAACAACTACATTGTTGCAGTCATCCCAGATAGATGTGTATCTGCTTTTGGTCTGTCAAGAAAACCAGAGGGGAAGCTGATCTATGCACAAATCCTGTGTGGATTCCAATTAATGGACCACTGCCTATATAAAACTCTTCCCCCAGAATTTTTCTGTTAACATTTTGGCTAACTGTGGACTGTTTTTTGTCTCTTCTTTGAAGGGTATGAAAGCAAAAGTATAATTTCTTAATGAAATCGCCAACATAATCTAACACAGAAATCAAACCTAGTCTCTTATGAAGAGAAGGCTTCTAATGTGGTTCTGTTGACTTTATGCTTTTGGTGGCCAGGTTTCGGTGGAACAGCATGTCTCGATTGGAGAAGGTCTATCTGAAGAACAGTGTCATGGAACTGATTGAAAATGTAAGGAATGATTGGTTGGAAGATTTGTGTTTCCAAGGTAGTTTAGACAAAGTATGACTTCTTCAATGTAGCATTGGTGTAAAAATTCACTGGTTCTATATACATTAAACAGCATGCTTTGTATGATATTAAATGTTACCTTCAAGGCAAAAAGAACCACCATCACAAGAAATCATAATTCATCACACTTCTCTTTCTTGGTTTAATTAATCCCTTATGTGTTGACTTCTGTTTTGAAAATTATGTAAAGATGGGGCAGAGGAGATAAGACATTTTCAGCAAATGAATAAGCTTCTTTGATCTAAATTAGATTGCACTTTGCTGCTTATTTCCTTATATTCTAAACTTACTTTGTACAAATGCACTGTATGATGTAACAGTAAAAAACAATGCAGAATAAATTTGTTTCAGGAGTTAGAATATGACTTTAAACAGGTTTAAAATCCACAATGTTTTTCTTTTTTACAATGGGCATGAAAAGTGGAATTGCTACCCCTTTTCATCCTCAAAGTCTGGTGCCTTTAATAGAAAAAAAAAATTTCTTTCAAAATTGTTAACTTGGCTAGCTAGGATTTGTATTTTTCTAGTTCTAAAGAAACTTGATAGAAGCCATAATTCATTAATCTTGATATCAAACTAAGGGTAGTTCCAGTAATAGTCTTTCTGTATCTTCTAATACTAGAACTATTGGTAAAACATTCCGGTGTTCCTCCTAACTTGCCCATTTTATCAGCCCCTCAATGTATTTATTTCTGTATTCTTCCATTCTGGCCTCCTTAATGAAACAGTCAATATGAGAATCTCCTCAGTTTCCAAAGGAGAACAATGATGCCTTCCTTGCTCTGTGTGACAGCCATTTTATTAGCTGGTGCAACCCTCACTTAAACTTTAAGTGGGAAGAATAATTAGTGAGAAATCAGGACAAGTGACTCAGACATGGAGAACCGGTTTGTTTATTCTGTTTAGTTTAAAAGCAGGCTAACTGAAGAGTTTTTATACTTTTATAGCCCAGTTTTTTCCTTGAAGTCCGTCTTGCAGGCCTCTTATTATCTCGCATTCTTTTTCAGGGAACACTGAACATTTTGGAAGAGGAGAACCATATTAAAGATGTTCTGTCTCGAATTGTAGTAGAAATGATCAAGCGGGAGTGGCCACAGCACTGGCCTGACATGCTAATAGAATTGGACGTTCTTTCCAAACAAGGGGTATGAAATACAGCTGTACCAATTCAGTTTACTTTTTTAGTGGGGGTATGGGGAGGGGGGAGGCTCTTCAGGGGTTTGTTTGTTTTGTCAACAGAAAAGAGCCTTTGGGCATACCTATAATGAAAAAGATGTTTTAGTTTAATTTAGCTTATTTCTGTTGATACAGGAAACACAGACAGAATTAGTGATGTTCATCTTTTTGCGACTGGCAGAGGATGTAGTGACCTTTCATACACTGCCCTTTCAAAGAAGAAGGGATATCCAGCAAACATTAACCCAGAACATGGAAAGGATCTTCAGTTTTTTACTTAACACACTTCAAGAAAATGTAAACAAGTACCGTCAAGTGGTAAGGGATACCCCACCTCCCCAAAGTCCTGTTTTTTAATATGAGTGTGTTTTTATTGGT